CTTGCTTCATTCCATTTGCACCCCAACGCCTTCTCTGGAACCTAGAAGCTCCCCGCCCACTCCATGTCTCAAGCTCCGCTTTGGGGATACTCTGAGACAGACATAGCCCGTGTGAGGTGGGCAGTGGGTGTTCAGGTGGAGCTTTTCCTAAGACCAACGTAAATGTGACTCCAGAATTTTAGACTGATAGGGGAAAAGAAGGAACAGAGGTAATTTGATGGTCTGAGGCAAGAAGGGAGGGAGGAGATGTCTTAGTGTAGAAGAGATGTAGAGGGGATGCATCCCGGGTAGAGGGAATTGAGCCTCTGGAAAGGAACATATTAAAGATGCAAGAGAAAGGGAGTCATATGTGAAGAAGGACTCAGAAGAGAAGGAGGGATCGAGACCACAAGTGGGGTCCAGGGAGTCTGGCTTTAATGAGGATTCATTCATCCAGCCATTCAACAGGCATGGATTCGGTCCTTCTGTGAGCCCAGGCTTCGCGCTAGGACCCTTGGCACAAAGAGGCGGGCGAGGCACAGCCACTCCCCTCTAGGAGGGAGGAGGGGGAAACAACCATCCCTGGAAACGGGCTAGCTTCCAGAATGGAAACATTTGTGGCGGAAAAGGAAGAAATGCTCCTGCTTCAAATAGCGCCTCTGATGGCTTCCCCACAGGGGGGCCGAGAGGGGCTTACCTCTTGGAGGCTCACTCTCCTCCTCTTTCACCACTACCCCACTAAGCTGTGACAGCAAACCAAGCAGAGAGGTGCTGTGTGGCACCACCGATCCCAGCAACGAGACGAGCGCGTACTGTGCCTTGCAAGCTTAGCTTTCTTTCTTCTCGGGGCAAAGCACAACAGTACTATAGAGGATGACACTTTTAGCTCTGTCCCAAGCACCAAGTAAAGCTGTTGAGAGAGAAACTTAGAGCTGAGGTAGGGGAAAGGGAGAAGGTGGTGAAGATTCAGGAATAATTGGAGTTAAGAACAGGGCAATGAGGAAGATAGATCTGATGGCTCTGGTCTTCTAATGAACAGAAAGCAAGGTTGTCTTTTGAGGCGGTATGGCCTGAACTGTGCCCGCCCCCCATTCATATGTTGACGTCCTAACCCCAGTATTCTGTAATGTGACTATTTGGTGATAAGGCCTTGAAAGAGGTGCCTAAGGTAGAACGAGATCATACGAGTGGACCTTAAGCTGACCATGTCCCTGTAAGGAGAAGAGGTTAGATCACAGACACCCTGGAATAAGACGGCCATGTCCAAGCCAAGGGAAGTGGTCTTCGAAGAAACCAACCCTGCTGTCACCTTGATCTTGGGCTTCTAGTCTCCTGAACGAGGAGGAGTAATACATTTCTGTGGTCGAAGCCACCTCGCCTGTGGAATCTGTTACAACAGCTTTCACAGATTTACACATTAGGGGTAAGGGGACAGCAACGGATTGGAGAGAATGAGAATGTTTTGGAAGAACCATAATGGGAAAGTCTATTAAATCTGAGTAAATGGGCTCCTGAAGAGAATACGGTCCATCTAACTAGGGATGAATCCATGATTTTTTTTTTTTACCTCCAGCAATATTTGGGAAGACAGCACAGAAAACTGGGCTGTGTTTGGGCTTGGCAGCAAGAGACCTCTGAGGCGGGACAGTGGGGACTTCTGGAGTGGCAGTGAGCAGGTGAAATGGCTGCCCAGGTAGGCACATGAGGCTGGTGAGAACACACAAACTAAGAGGTTAAGGAAGATTCTAGAATGGGAGAAGACTTGGGTAATGACGGGGGAGGGAGTGGGAGGTAGAAGAGGGCAGAGTTGTGCTCGCAGAATGGCAGTCAGCTTGGGGGGGGGAGTGCTCATGGTTTAAACACAGTGGACAGAGTTTTGTCATATCATGTGAGGTCTGAGCCGGACTGAACAGTGGTCAAGTACAACATGGAGAGTTAGGTTAAGGATGTTTTGCAGCTTCCAGTGGTCCATGTTTCAACAGCAAGGTTCTGAAAAGTGGAAGTCCCGGCTTGCGGACCCTTCTTGTCTGCTGTGGAGGGCCATATCCCCTTTATAAGGATGGATGTGACGCCTTGCAGCCTTCCCTAAAATGATTATGCTCTGGTGGAGCTGGAACCTGGGCGTCCTAATTCCCAATTCAGGGCTTTCCACAACCTGCTCACGTTAGCAAGTGCGTGGTGGCGAGGGCACCGGCGTCCTCCTTCCACAGAGGACATGGGTTAAGAGTCATTTTCCCAACACGTCACCAGGATGTAGCCTTGCAGCCTGTGGATTAGCAGGACCCGGTGACCAGAAGGAGGCAGCTGAGGGTACAGGCCACACGATAGGGTTCCCTCTTAGACTCTCCCATTCTGGGGTCCTGGAACTAAGGCCACAAATCATCCCTACATGCTTGGAGAAGAATGGGAAGTAACTGGAATGACATATGTCAGAATGCCATTGGCCTTGCCAATTTTTTTTTAAGCTTATTTACTTATTTTGAGACAGAGAGAGAGAGAGCAAGCGAGCCAGTGAGGGAGGGGCAGAGAGAGAGAGGGAGAGAGGGAGGGAGAATCCCAAGCAGTCTCCATCCACACTGTCAGCACAGAGCACCATGCAGGGCTCCTTCCCACCAACTATGAGATCACGACCTGAGCGGGAATCAAGAGTTGGGCACTTAACCAACAGAGTCACCCACGTGCCTCTGGCCTTGCCCATTTTCTGCCTGATCTCTGCCTGGGTGATTCACTTTCTTTTTTCTTTAAATGCTTATTTATTCTTGAGAGAGAGAGAGAGACAGAGACAGAGACAGAGTGCAAGCAGGGGAGGGGCAGAGAGAGAGGGAGACACAGGATCCTAGTAGGCCCCAGGCTCTGAGCTGTCAGCGCAGAACCTGACGTGGGGCTCAAACTCACAAACCATGAATCGTGACCTGAGCCAAAGTCGGATGCTTAACCGACTGAGCCACCCACACATCCCTGCTTAGGTGATTTTCTAAACCATTCTTAAAGATATTCATAGATTCCAGTTACTCTTGGAACAAGCAGTCATGCCCCACACCTAGCACAGAGCCCGGCACCAAGTAGGCACTCAGACGTTTGCCGAGTGCTCATAAATCGCCCTACCCAGAGGCTCTTATACCCTCAGGCCCTGCCACACGTGTGTTCCTTAGTGTGCTTGGCTGTTGGTTTCTATGCCCTCGCCGCAGTGAGGCGCACTGCGAGTACTTTGTTACCAATCATACGGCATCAAGTCCGAGAAGCTTTTATTTGAGAAAGAGAGAAGATCTGAAAGAGAGCTTAGCTTATCATAATGTCTCTTGCACCGCACCCGGCATTTCCGTTTGCTCTTAGCGGGAAAGCCATGGGCAGAGTCACAGCAGGATTGCAGGGCCTGGCGCACGACCTCTGTAGAGGCAGTGGGGGCTGTCTGGGGTATGTAGCTTTTGTCCAAGTGTCCTGACTTAGTCAGGGGGCGGGGTGGAAACAAGCATGAGCCTTGCCGCTGAAACATTCATTCCTCAACGTGGGGTGGATGGCCAGCTCTTCAGCTTTCCCCTTGCCAGGCGGGATATGCACAGATCTGCCCAGGGGACTGGATGTTTAGCACACTCCTGAAGAACATTTTAATTGTCTGAGTGGGTCTCTGAGGACCTGCCCCCATTAGCATGAGAGTGATTCCTGAAAGTTGCCCAAACATAGCTGTGTCCTAACAACAGGGCGCCGGTGACCTCTGAACCACGTCTCTCTCCATAGCCTTGGCTATTTCAAAGAGATCATTAACAAGGTGGAATTGGGTGCCCCCAGGGTCACTGCACAATATACATTGTTACTGTCTTTTAATGGACTTTCCCCAGACACGGTGATTCTTAAACTGCAGCGTCGGCAGCTGCTAACGCCAGGCTGAGCCACGCTGTCTGCAAGGAGAGAGCCGGCCTGCCAGTCCTGCCAGAGCAGATCTGAGCTTGGGCAGATGGATCGGGCTGAGAGAAAGGAGGAGGGGGCGTGGGCTTAAGGGGAGGGGGCACCAGCGGAGAAGCCTGGCAGCCCTCGGAGGTCTTTGTTATTGATTTAGCGTGAGGACTGAAAGTGGCAGGCAGGCAGGTGGCAGGGGCTGGCGAACGGGGAAGACAGGTGTAGGCGGTCGTGGGCAGTGATTAGCCGAGGTGTTCCAGATGTGGCTGGGGGTGTCAGCTGGTGGTGACTAACGTGGGTGCTTCTGAGGGGCGTGGCGTCAGATGGTGGTTTCAGAATGCAGATGCGAGAGTGCGGCCCCCCCCCCTCCCCCCCCCGCTGCTTCCACACCGCTTCACACGAGTTCTACTCTCCCGAGCATGCGCGTTCAACTTCATCTTTACTTCCGCGTCGCGACTACCCCCTTCCCTACATTCCTCTCTAGGCCAAGGGCAGGAATATGCAGATTACACTCCCCCAGCCTTCAGCCTTCAGCCTTCACCCAATTTTGGGGATGATCACACGGACCGAGCGCCCTCGATCATGTACGAGCGAGTACAATCAAGTACGATCATGCGCGTTCACGTGAGAAACATACCTGGTGGTAGAGGACGTTCATAGTCCACGGTCTTCTTTGCCTGCTTCCTTTTTGAAAACCTGCCTCCGATTTTTATAAAAAGATTTTTATCGAAGTAGAATATACACAAAAAGTAAACATAGTAGTACCACTCCCACTGGATCAAGAAACAGATAATTCACAGCACTCCAAAAGCTTTTCTTAGTCTGTTCCAGTCACACTAACTCTGTTCCGGCCTTCTTCTCCAAAAGTGGCCACTTGCCTTCAATCACCACAGATTCGTTTTGGCTGTTTCGGAATTAAAAAAAAATTTGTTAATATTTATTTATTTTTGAGAAGAGAGAGACAGAGCATGAGCAGGGGAGGAGAGAGAAAGAGGGAGACACAGAATCTGAAACAGGCTCTGGGCTCTGAGCTGTCAGCACAGAGCCCGACGCGGGACTTGAACTCACGGACCGTGAGATCATGACCTGAGCCGAAGTCAGATGCTCAACTGACTGAGCCACCCAGGCGCCCCATGTTTCGGAATTTTATATGAATGGACCCAGACACAATGCATTATGGTCTAGCCAGCTCTTTTTGCTCAATGTTTGTATGCAATGTTTGTTCTTTTTCATTGCTGTATACTGTTCCACCATCTGAGTCATTCACAATTATCTGTTCCACTATTGAGAAACATTTGGATTATTTATGGATTTGGGTTATGATGAATAATGATGTCCTGATCATTTTAACAGGTATTTCGTTCTATATATGCATCCATTTCTGTATATTTGGGAATGGAGTTGTTAGAATCATAGGGTATGGGTATGCTCAGCTGTAGTAAGAACTGTTTAGTAGAAAGGATTTTGCAAAACCATGTGCCATGCCTTGGCCTTGATATTATGGCACCAGCCCCCCTCCACACCACAGGGGCCCAGGAACTCACCACAAACCAGTCATCACCCACAGCCTCCTGTCTCAGGCATCTTGTTGGACCACTCAGCCTCTTACCCACTTCGACATGTGGCTCTCCCTATTCATCTACTCTTGCGCCCTGACCTTTATGAACTCTGGCTCCCTATGACCATTTCAGGCCTTCCTTGCTTCAATGACCCCTTTGTATCTGCTTCTGTGACTCACCGACCAATTAAACGCTTGACTACACTCCATCCCAATCACAGAGTTCTGGTGTGGCCTCCACAGAGCTCATTCAGGCCAGCCCCAGCTCCTGGCCTGTGTGTTAAGAGTGGGTAAAGCGATCGGAAGTAGAGCTTTGCCATCCCAAGAAGACAAGCAAGTGAACTGTAAGACAGGCAGATCAATGAAATTGGCTTTTTTCTTTATTAATGGGCCCAATTTGTCCTGGGTTAGTGGCTATTTACAAAATTTCAAGATGCCCAGCCCTTTGAACTTCCCTGTGTCCCGACCAGACTTCCTTGCTATGGTGAATGCGTGTGCGTGTGCACGCGTGCGTGTGTGCATGGGCACGTGTGTGATGTGTCTCTGTCTCCCAGCGTCTGTGACTTGCATGTCTGCAAGCAAATGCTTGCACCCAGAAGGAGGGTGTGATGAAATGCTGTCACGTGGCTAGCCACGGGCAGTGAGTCAATGAGCTCCCCCACAGCCACCTCACTGGAGTGGAGGGAACCGGAACCACCACACTTGGCAACTTGGGCTGTGTCCACATGGTTGGAAACAATCTGTGAAGTGAGTCAGATCCATTGAGAAAACAATTAAGTCAGTGGGAAAAGAAAATCAGTAGGCCGGGTTATTTGGCATGGTGAAAGAAAGCAGCCCATTGTTTGTTCGCATTTGTCCCTTTCCAGCTGGTCATTGTGACACTAGCTGATGCTGGGCTTGCCTACACAAGTGCTTTTAACAGTTTGACCCAGACTCTGTCTACACAGCTCTAAAACCACCCAGCGAGCTTGTCCAGAGTCAAAGAATCAACTATCTGCCTCACTAGTAGTTCTGTCCTCAGGACTCTTTTATGGGGATCCCACTGAAAATGATGGCAGACATTTTGGGGCAAGATAGGACTTTGGGGCTGCTCCACCACTTCTGGTGAGTTCCATGTCTGAGGACTGAGTAGCTTCAGGCAGCTCTAGATAATATCTGGCCACTGGTATGGGAGGCAGGGATAGGGGTCAGATGAAGTTCAAAACTGTGAAATCCAGAGATAATCCCCCCAAATCATGCTGACCACCTGTTTTGTTTTCGCTTAGGATTGTTGGGTGAGTGACCCCAGAAGAGACAAACTTCTAATTCCGGCCTCTTGGAGATCATTATCCCAACTCCCAGATTTTTTTTAAGCTTTGTTTTTTTTTTAATGTTTATTTCTTTATTTTGAGAAAGAGAGGGTGCATGCAAGTGGGGGAGAGGGGCAGAGAGAGAGAGGGAGAGACAGAATCCCAAGCAGGCTCCATGCTCAGTGCATAGCCTGACACGGGGCTCGATCCCACGACCGTGAGATCATGACCTGAACCGACATCACGAGTCGGACGCTTAACCGACTGAGCCACCCGGGTGCCCCCCAACTCCCAGAACTTAAAGGGGAGAAAAGGGAGGCCCAGGGAGATACAGAGACATACACAGGGCTACACGGGTAAAAAGTGAGTGTTCACTTGGCTAAATTTAACTGCACCTGGCTGTCTCCAGTTAAGGTGCTAATGAACCAGGAGACGCACATACAACATAGCAACTTGTAATGGACGTGTTGAAAAGGAATGGGTTATGAAGTAGAATTCTCTCTTAAGAACTAGGGAGCTTCTCTGAGTCCTTTTTTGGGCACCTTTCCTGTATCCAGCTGCTAGTTACCTGCAAGAACTCTCATCAATCTCCAAAGAACAGCAGTGTCCAAAAGTTGGGGAATGTGTATGATGTGGCTTTGGCTGGAGCATATTTATGACCTGGAGTGTGCTCTAATTGTGCAGATATTCCCATAAATGTTATTTTATTAAGTTGAGCTACAGTAAATCTGTCATCTCCATAAGTAACACCACAGTGAATCTGTAGGTAAGCTCAGAATACTGCCGTGAGCCATGCTGGGCTATTAGCTTCAGTCCAATGTTGTTATCTGCGCAGTTATAGCATCTCAGGGGCAAAACTCAGGCACTGCGTTTACAAGATTTGGTTCCTCATGCATGCCCTTGGCTCCCAAAGACAACAGAAATGGCTACAAAAGACGGGGGCGAGAAAACCAGAGAATGCTGAATGTTTACTTCCTCTAGCCCGTCTGGAAACAGCTCAGGCCAACATAGAGAGCTGGAACAGGGAATTCAGTGTCTTGGGTTCTACTGTTACTCTTATGAACTTCTCAACCTAAGGAAGATCCATTGGTATGACGGGTCTCACACCTGCCATCTTGGAAATGGCGGCACGGTAGGCATGCCTCTCCATGGTAAATACAGCAGTCCTGGAAGCCAAGTTGTTGAGATCTCAGGGTGAAAGCAATAATAATTAAGTGTATCTATTACCTGGTCTGATATCCTCTGACCACCACCTGGAGAGGGTCCATAATCCACTATCTCCTTCCCCTGGGGAAAGAAAGGAAAGGAGATTAATGATGTCTCTTCCTCCAGGGAAATTTATGACACGTTGATATCCAAGCACTTTGTTCATGAATCTGGGTGACTCATGTCTACTTGTGGTGTAAAAGCCAGACTATTGTAAACATAGCATTCCTGAGTATATTAGGAATTTTCCAGAGCTGACAACATTCAAGAACAATCAGGTTCAGCCCTAGTCCTTGCCCCTCAAAACCGATCGCGGGCTCCCAGTTGTGAGGCAGTACAGTGAGTTCAGAGGAAGCAGTCTTTGAAGGGACAAAATTGGGAGGCATTTGCTTTAGCGCTCTGGATTGAATTAGTTGTTATTCATTACAGGAAATCACATTTCATAGTTCCTAAGAAATAAGCCAAACGTTTTTAAGATTTGATTCCATATCTGATAGAATCTCTCTCCACAGCCTTTGCAGAGCATCACTGTAAAGTCCCCCCAGCCCCCGCCATTTTTTCTTTTTTATTAACCTGAGAAGAAAATGAACTGAGTTTGGAAAAGGATGTTAGGCGGACACAAGGGAGGGTTTACAGACCCAGGGAAAATGCACTTGAAGAAAAAATGCCACAAACCGGGGTCAGCAGACATTAAATTATAGACATGCCCATGGTTTGTCCAGATTGGTTAGAACATGTTTCTTTTCAGCAATAAAAAACAAGAGCCATTAACAAGCAAAGATGTTAGATGGAATTAAGTGGCGTTCAAACGATGGAAGGGGAATTTAAGGAGCTAACCTTCCACTGCCCAGGCAGTTTACCCAGTCAATTAAAACACAAGACTGTCTTTCCCACTGTCCTGCCATCAACGGGAGAAAGTGACTCTGATAGGCCACAAGGCTTGGCTGCCATATACCCTCACGCAGCCGTCCTTCCCAGAGCCTCCTGACGGCTTCAGGTGGCTAAATGGCCAGCTAAGCACGATACATTTCAATTGAGAATCTTGTGTCTCGTGGTGGTTGCCTGATGCCTCCCTGATGCAAGGCACTGTCATAGATCACCGCCATCCTACAGGCACGCCACCCAGATAGCAACCATAGGATTGTCAACAGAACGATTCACACACCGGCAGCAGCAGCTAAACGCAGCGCAGTTCGCGACCCCAAGCACGACACCAAGATTCTAAATGGGATGTTGCAGCAGCAAAGATTCTAAAACACAACTGTGTCACTGGGGCATTCAGAGGGTGTCACGACCTGTAACTGACAGGCACACCTGCCCTGGTTTCCCCCTGGGCACAGCATTCTTGCATTCCCCTGGGCCTCCTGTTGCATTGCGGCTGCTTATTTGCATCCGCAAGCAGGGAGCAGGTATCCTGCAGAAATAGTCCGGGAGTGGTGTCTGATTCCCATAGGCCTTTGCAGCCAGCTCTAACGGAATGATTTCCAATATTCAGTTTCTGAGAATTCTAACCATGATAGGCAGACCATGGCAGATCTTAATGACAATAATATCATCTCACATTTTCATGGCATTTAACAGTTTACAAAGTGCTTTCACATACATTATCACATTTAATCCCGGTGAGGTCGATACTCTCTTCTTTTTTTCTATTGGCAGCTTGGTGTAGTGGAAAGAGCGCTGGACCCAGGCAGACGTAAGTTCAAATCCCGGCAATGACCACCCACCAGCTGTCCAACCACAGACGATGTGCTTCCATTCTTCCAGTGTCCTTTTTTGTACCTGGAAGATGGGGAATCATTTCTACTACCCGTAAGATGAGGTATGCGGTAAGAATTAAACAGCCTATATAAAAACACAGTGTAGGTCCTGATGCATAGAAGCACCGGATAATCATTACTTTCTATCCACTTACAGAAGAAAACGAAGCTGGAGAGGTTAAGGGAATTGCTCAAAGTAACAGCTAGTAAACGGCAGAACTGAGACTTCATTTATTTTACAAACATTATTGAACACCTACTATATGCCAGTGCCTCAGGCATAGGAAAGTGGATAAGTCCTAATTCTAGTTCTCGAAATGTTCACAGTAGAGTGCCAGAGCCTGAAACGCAAATAATCAATTACAGTCTAGTGTGATGTGAAAAGCAAGACGTATTTAGGGAATGTCCTAAAGCCAGGGGTGAGCCCAGGTATCGACACAGGAAGTGAGTCTTAAGAAGAGGACCCTTCAGAGGAAGCAGCCACGGAGTTCAAGCTGGAATGTACATCAGCAGGCGGACGCTGCAGCCAAGAGGGGATTCGAGGGACAGGTGGGAGGGAGAGAGGAGGAAGCAAGGGTGGGCAGAGTCAAAGGGGCTCACAGGGGATGCTGCAAGGTGATCCCCTTCATCCAGTCCGCGCTGGAGCGAACCCATGGGATGACTTCACATAAGGACCCAAGGTGGTCAGATTTGCATTTTTGAGATCGGGGCAGCAATGTGGAAGATTGACTGCAGGAATGAGATAATGGAAGCAGTAGTTCAATGAGAGATAATGAGGCTGTGAACTAAGAAAGTGGCAGAGCAGACAATTTTGAGAGGTGTAGCAGAGTCAGAATTGACAGGGAGAGGCCATTGATTTGATGTCGAGGCATGAGAGAAAGAGGAGTCAGGAAGAACTCCCAGGTTATTAGCTTGGATGGCCGGGTGAATAGGTGCCCCCCACCCTGCCCCGACACAGCGGGGAGTGGGCTTGAAGGGTCAATAATGAGTTCATTTGGACTTGCTTGTTCTGGGAGACCTGGGGACATCTAGAAGCAGGTGTGCAGGAGAGGGCTGTGAGTCGAGCTTGGGAGAGAAGCGGGGTGCTGTGCTCTGATCTGGGGGTCCCTGGCTTTTAGATGGTGGTTGAAGTTGGACGTAGGCTAAGACCACAGAGCAGAAAGAAAAGAGGGTCATGGAGAGCTCTAGGGAACACCAACATTCAGGTGCTAGAATAAGGACTGTCAGAGACGCGGAAGTCCCAGGAGAAAGAGGGGCTTAAGACTCTAAGGGAGACAAGCATTTTGTGATGGCGCAAGCAGATGGAGGTGTCAAAATCTACCCGGGGTCAAAGAAGATGGAAACCAAAACATGCCTATCACATTCGGAAATTAGAAGGTTACTTTGGTGACTTATTTTAAGATGTAGTTAAGAGAAGAACTTTTCCACTTTGGTTGTTGCTGTTGTTACTATGATCCAGAGTAAGAAAAATATGTTATATTATGACCTGGGACAAAAGTTTCATGACCAATACTCGCTCTCTGATATTTCAGACTTATTCTATTCTATTCTATTCTATTCTATTCTATTCTATTCTATTCCATTCATTCCATTCCATTCCATTCCATCCTGTCCCATCCCATATGGATGCTCCTTAGTATGCACTAAATTTGCTTTATGGCCAAATAGTGGGCTGCAAGCTGCAGTTTTAAAAAGCATCGGTTTAGATAGATATAATTTTCCTAGAAGAAGAGAAATGTAGGATAAAGGCAAGAACACTGGATTTTGAGTGGACATACCTGATTCATGGCATGACTCAGCTACTTATTGCCTGTGTGACCTTAGATGTGCCCATTAACCTCTATGTGTCTCTTTCATTATCTGTAAAATTCAGATAATACATTAGTTGTAAAGGGATATTCTGGGGGATCAAAGAAGATAAAATATATGAATGCAAAGAGAGTATGTCTAGAATAGTCTTGGAAAAACTACGACTTTTTAGTCACATTCAAAGAAAGAGCAGAATAATGTCTTATGTGTCCCAGTTGGTTCTAGCTCTCTAACCTGAATCCTGGAGCCATACCACTGCAAAACATACCAAGAACCAGGATGGAACAAAAAAAAAAAAAAAATCAGGCAAAATTGGTGGTGTTGCTACATTTACAAAATACTCTTGTTCTAATACTATTGTAGCCATCTTAGTTTCCTGATTTATATCCAGAATCTAATAGAGGACTTCCCTTAATAAAAGAAGAGCCAATACAGGCAGTTTTTTTTTTAATGTTTATTTTTGAAAGAGAGAGAGAAAGACAGAGGGAGACAGAGAATCCAAAGCAGGCTCTGCACTGACAACAGACAGCCCAATGCGGTGCTCAGACTCATGGAACCATGAGATCATGACCTGAGCCGTGGTCAGATGCTTAACTGACTGAGTCACCCAGGTGCCTCTACAGGCAAGTTTCCTCACCACTGTGTGAAATGACAGCAGAAAATACTGCAGGCAAACACAGAAAGATGGGATTCCAGTGGCACCTGGGTCCCAGTTGGTTGAGCGTCCAACTCTTGGTTTCGGCTCAGGTCATAATCTCACAGTTCATGGGACCACAGCCTGCACTGGGCTGCTTGCTGGCAGTGCAGAGCCTGCCTGGGATTCTCTCTCTGCCCCTACCCTGACACACATTCTCTCTCTCTCCCTCTTTCTCTCTCTCTCAAAATGAAAAACTAAACTCCAAAAAAAAAAAAAAAAAGAAAGAAAGACAGATCCTTTAATATAGGCAATAATCTTTACGAATTCCAGTAGACCAGCTGGTATCACTGTATTAAGGCATAATACAGTAATTGATTTTTATGATTCACTCAACAAACTGCTACATTTTAATACCTAACATATGCATTGACTTAGGTGTAAGGAAGACAAAGATGACCAAGGCATCATTTCTAACCTCTAAAAATGTGCAAACAGGTGGCTGAGCAGACACATAGATGGATAATTCCAATTAAATGGTACAACTAAAAGAGATACGCATTTGAATATAATAACATATGAACATGCCATGAGAGAAAAAAAGAGCAGCCAGCCCAATCTGGAGTTCAGGGAATGCTTCCTGAAGGTCACCCTGCCCAAGACGAGTCTTGGTGTGAGCATTAACAAAGGAAGCTGGGAAAGACATTTCAGAAAGGCAGAATAGTCTAAGAATGCCACAAAAGTATGAGAACCTGTATAGTGTATACACTATCTCTCGAGCATAAAAAGCCAAGAACAAGCTAGACAACAGAGGTAGGTATGGTCGCCATCTTGGAGAGACTTCCCTACCAAGTTAAGGTGCTTAGAGTACATTGCATCGGACATGGAAGCCATTAATGGGGACCAATCACTCTGGAAGCCTTATGGAGAGGAAGTTAAGGGTAGGTCAGGGACATATTTGGCGATAATTGCAGTGATCCAGGAGAGACATGTTGAGGGCCTGAGAAGCAGTAATGGAGAAGGAAGAGAGGAATTAGATTTGAGAAATATTTTGGATGCTGAGATTAGATGTGGGGGGTTGAGATCATATGACACTCTACTTCAGAGACCAAAAATGAGTAATACTGACCTATACTGCCCAACAACATTGTCATCCTCAAGTTCGGGGTCCAGTGTGGAAAAATTAAGACAAGTCTGTTGTAAGCCCTTGTAACACAAGGTTGAAGATGCTAAGTGTTGAAAGAGAGGCGTAGACACCTGGCTGTGGGAGTCAGAGGAAAGAGGCATAAATTCCAGTTGAGTTATCCAGACAAGGCTTCATGGAAGAAATGGCCTTCAAAGTGGGCTTTGAAAGGTATAAAAGATTTCACCATGACTTCATAAGAGGAGAGGGCATTTCTGGTGGAGGAAGCATCCTGAGCAGTCGTTGGGACAGGGAATGGTGTAGTCTAGGGACAATACCACAGGCTCTGGAGTTACACAAGCCTGGGCTCAAACAGCTCTGTCACATTCTAGGCAGAGAGTTAGGGGTAAGTTACTTTGCTCCTCTGAGCCTCTGTTCCTCATTTGTAAAACAGTTATAATTATCATTTCTCTTATGGTTGCTGTATTTAATGAAATAATGTATTTAACTGTGTTTGACTCAAAGCAAGCCATCAGCACAGTTAAGTGCTATCCTCTTATGATGGCAGAGCAACAGGGAGTGGGGGCTGAGGCAGGGTGTGTCATGTAAAGGAGAGTGCATATGGTGCAGAACCAAATGGAGAGTGAAAGTGGGTCAGAGAGCCTGGGAGAGACTGTGCAAGGCCTTGAGTGCTAGACTAAGGAATTTGGACTTTCCTGGGTTGGCAGTTGGGAGCCACTGAAGATTCACAACTAGGCCTGAAGAGTTGAGCTGTGTTGACTGAGATTAATAAGTACCCATACGAAAGATGGTTTGGAGGAGGAAGGGATGGAACACATGACAATCATTTATGAAATTACAAGAGCTCAAATGAGAGGTAATGAAGGTCTGAATTTGTGTAGTGTCAATAAGAATGGGGAAGAGATATTAAACACGGGGGAATTTGTTGAGGTAAAATAAGAGATCAAATACCCAAATTTCCAATCAAGGTTACTGGAAGGAGCACCAACAAATATTGGGACAGGAGTTGTGAGAGTCAGGAAATAGACAAAATGGTGGCCTTTTTTGAAAAACTGAAAAGTTTTGGGGGTTGCTAATGACCTCAATATTCCTTCTCTTCCACGCTGTATAGATGGCTACCCAGCTAAAGACTTCATTTCCCAGTCTCCCTTGCAACAGGTGTTGCCATGTGATTAGGTTCTGACCAATGGGATGTAAGCAGAATGATATGTGCCACTTCCAGATCATTCCCTTAAAAAGAGCCCCTTGTTTTCCATTCTTCTTTCCCTTTCCTAAAGGTCTATATAGGAATGGAGTAGTGAGCCATGCAGGCGAGGGCAACCTCCAAAGCATTAGGATTAGAACAACAAGGGGCCCCAGCAGAGCTGTGCCTCTTACCCAGACCTCTACCAGCTCAGATTTTCACATAAAAGGGAAACACAGCTTAAACAGTCCTCTAATAAAGAGACAATGAGTTTGGTGTATAGCAGAAGGCAGAGGTGGCCAGGAGAGGTCAAGCCTGAACAGTAGCCATAGAGAGGGACCCAGGGTGTAGACAGGGATTTAAGAGTCATGTGAGTCATGATGATGCTTGAAGCCATGTAGTGAGTGAGATTGCTCAGGGAAGCACTGGAGAGAGAGGAGAGGTGAGGACCACAGGGCACCCGGACAGCATGTTTGCTCAGGTGGGAGGGAAGGAAGAGGAGCAGGGACTGAAACTGAAATGGAGGCAGGTGCACAGTGGCGATGAGCTGAGAAGGAGGAAGAAGAGACAGAAGAGAATAATGGCAGGGTCATCGGGAGAAATTGTTTTCCTTGATGAAGAGTGGCCAACAATGTCAAAATCTGCAGAGGACAAGGGAGGTAAGAACTGAGAAAAGGCCACAAAATTTACGGAGATTAGAGTATACTTAGGACAGGAAGCAATCAAGAAGAAGTCAAATTCTGTTCAAAATAATGTGCTCAAGAAGCCTGGGAATTTATTATGTTTTTATTATTTATTTTTTATTTATTATAATTTATTTAACGTAAAATGCAAAGAGTTCAATCAATCTAAAATTATTTTTTAAAAAGTGTAAGGCAAACAATATATGTAGAAACGTCTCCCTCTGGGAGGTAGAGCTTAATCCTCCCTGTCCCTCAGTATGGGCTGGACTTAGTGAGTTGGCTTCTACAGAATAGGATGCAGAGAGGGGACAAAATAGTAACTTTAGAGTGGAGAAACCTGGCGAATACCTCCCACCTTACCCAAATGGTCAAGGTCAACTACATCAGTGATAAGTCACATGGATATAATGCGCCCTTGTGTGATGTGTTGAGAAGGGCAATTCAGCTCTGTGGTGGTCTTTCCCAAAACCCATAACCTCAGCCTAGAATTGAGGAAAACATCAGACAAACTCAAATTGAGAGACGTTCTACAAAATACCTGACCAGTATCTTCAAAACTGTCTAGGCCATGAACAACAAGGAAAGACTGAAAAAGTGTCACAGACCAGCAGCTATGGAGACTTGATGATCAAACGTTATGTGGATCGTGGACGGGATTCTGGAACAGAAAAAGAAAGGGTATTACTGAAATCTAAATAAAGTCTGGAGGTTAGTTAACAGTATCGTACCAACGTTGCCTTCATAGTTTTGATAAATATACCACAGTCATATAAGATGTTAAAATAGGGGAAGCTGGGTGAAGGATATCCTCTCTATTCTTAACTATCTTTGTAACTTTTCTGTAAATCTAAAATTATTTCAGTATAAAAAGTTTGGGGGGGGGAGTTGTTTTGTTTTGCTTTGTTTTTTGAAGGTGTAAGGCAAGGGCAGAGCTAGGTCCTTACTAGGACTAAGTAAGTTTGCAATAGGAAGTATCTGGTCTCCCACTGCCCCACGTCCACCCCCCACCCAAGAAAAACTTTCCGTTAGTCCATTATTACAGTACAATGGAATGTTCAATTTCACACTGTGTGTGACACTCTATGCCAGCTAGAATAGTTAATGCAACTTTACATTTATGACTCTGCTTGGGTGTGAATTATTGTGTTTATGAAAATCTCCATATTAATGTCTGATTGTAAATCATTCTGCCGGCTCCTTTATTAATAGCTCAATTCCCACTACTCACTGCTGCAAGCCATTCAAATTACGGCAACCGTACAGGAAACGGGCTGCTTCCCATTTGTTTCCCATCTAAATTTAACCATCTTGGGCTTTGCTTTAAAGCCGCTGTTCCTCTGAATTGTTCAAGCCAGACATGTTTGACTGTGTTCATTGGTGAAGTTAAGGCAGCGTGTCTGAGGGGTAGTTTATTACTCTCTGTTTCTGGATTTCCTGCTCTTCAGAAGCGATCTGGGCGCAGATCCTGGTGGTGTTGGTTCAAACCCTGGCTGTGTTACTAACTGGCTGTGTGATCTCAGCAAGCTATTTAGTCTTTCTGGGTCCCGGTTTCCTCATCTAAAGTGGAAATCATAACACATCATTTTTATTTGTTTATTTTTTTTAACGTTTATTCATATTTTGAGGGGGGAGAGGGGCAGAGAGAGAGAGAGAGAGACACCCAGAAACTGAAACAGGCTCCAGGCTCTGAGCCGTCGGCACAGAGCCTGATGCGGGGCTCAAACCCTTGAATCATGGGATCATGACCCAAGCCAGAGTCGGATGCTCAACCAACTGAGCCACCCAGGCACGCCAATCTGAACTATTGTTTTTAGAGTTGGTATGAAAATTGAGCGTGATGTTGTTAGGAAAACTGCTGGTGTAGTTGTGGCAGGTAGGAAGCTCTTGGTGGTCTTTTTGTGATGGGAATTATACTAACAATGATGGTATTAATAGTGGGTATAGCTGAAAGAATTTAGGACTGGCATCCAGAAGGTCTGGGTATAGTTCCAGTTCGTCGATAAACTAGAGTTGTGATCTTGGAAAAGTCACTTTATATCTCTGGCTCTCTGTTTCCCCAGGTGCAAAATGAAGGAGCTGCCTTTCTTAAGCATCTCTTCCCCAGGCTAGTATTCCAGGTTCTACGTGTGCAACAGTCACCCCTAAAAGGTGTGCCCACCCTCATTCCTCTTTTCCATCCCTTCCCCAACCACCACCAGCTCCTCGGGTCAGACAGCTCAACTAGAGGCTACAGAATATTCAGGAAGGGGCCAGCCTTGGCTTTGCATTTTCAGGCTTCCTCACACGACAGCTCAAATCAGACCCCCTACCCCAGCCCCCTTACCGGCAGGAGGGGAAATATGAAATCTCAGCAGGCAAGGAGGTTTTTTATGCTTCTGTAAATCATTAAAGTGGCCAATATTTCCCTTTGCTGCACTTCTCCTACCTCACAATATTTTTTTTTTCCTGCAGTGAAATCCATTCGCCCAGCCTGGAAATGTGGTCACTTTATAGAAAATCTTTAGCTTGTACCAGCACAAATGGATGGGTCTTATTTCCTGTCTACAGTTCATGGTGTTGCAAAGGCATTGCCAAAAACTATTGACTGAGACATAAAAGCAAGAAATGGATGGAAATGAACGTGGGCACGTTCGCGTGTACATTTACAAACACACAGAGCCGAACGTGATCAAGTCTACACTTAAAGGAAGAGATTCCCTGAAGGGACGTCCTAATTCATAACTCAGCCCCTTACCCTGCCCATGTTCAGAATCTATCTCACGCTCTGGAGGAGGGAGAAGAGGGTAGGACCAGGCAATGTGGTTTAGATACTGGGGAAGGAACTCGGTCCCCGGTAAGTCTCCCTGATCCCTGTGCCATGATGCTGGAAATAACACCCTTAACGATCCATCCATCTTGTAATTTCAGAAGTAGAGAAAAACATTCAGAATCCTCTGCGATTCTGTTTTTACTAAAATGATACTTCCTAAAAACGATCGCACCTTGCCTTTTAAGAATGAGCTTTGGGGTACGTGTAATGCCATATACGATTTTTACAGATTTCTGAGGGAACTGTATCCACCCCCATTTTAATGATGATGAAGCTGGGGTCCTCAAGGATGAGGTGAGGCATTCGATATCACCCAGCTAGGAAGTGGGGCAGCGGGGACCCCTTGAATTCAGTCCCGATGTTCTTTCCACTCGGCCACGTTGCCGCCTGGCAGTACCCTGAAGCAGAGGGGCCATCACCCTCAGGGACTCAGCTTCCTTCTGATCACAAGGTTTGTAATCTGTGGGAGAAGAGACGGAGCCCGAGAGGCAGGGACCCGGAGGCACGGATGGAGCCAAGGGACTCACAACAGTGAGCAGCAGTGGGGGCGCGCCGGTCACTCACTCTCCTCACCGGATCTGGAGAGCCCAGTATGTGCTCAACAACCCCCAATCTCCCTGGACACTGACTTACTCCCTGTGTGATCGCTTTGTGTCCCATTTCCTCATCTTTTCGAGAGGGAGTCACAATACTGATTTCACAGAGTGCTGCGAGGATTGCTGAGACATCTAATAGAGAAACGTGTTTCATTTCTTCCTTCTCCCTCCCTCCTCCCTCCCTCCACCCCTCCTTCTACCCCTCCCTCCCTCCTCCCTTCCCTCTTTCCCACTGTCCTCTCCCTCCCTTGTCCCCTCCTTCTTTCCTTCCCTCCTTCTCTTTCCTTCCTTCCCTCCCTCCTCCGCTTCCTCTTTCCCTGCTTCCCTGCCTCACTTCCTTCCTTCTTCCTTCCTTCCTCCTTCCTTCCTTCCTTCCTTCCTCCTTCCTTCCCCCCTTCTTCCTGCCTGTCATCCTTTCCCTCTGTCTCTGCACTGTTTGGTAGCTTTGGACCCAAATAACCTGAATTGAGTCACTTGAGGAGCTTCAGTTGTCTGCTGGTCCCTCACCCCTGGCCCACCCCCACTTCCTCCACAGAACACTCACCCCTTCCCTCCAGGCGATGTCCGCAGGGAAATGCTGGCCTCCCCTGCAGCCAGAGGCCAACAGGCCAGCCCAGCACAGGCCACGTGTCATTACACTGAGGGGCCCCCTGCACAGTCTCGTCTCTGGCAGAACCAACATTCAGACCAGGTGGGCTGCCCGCTGTGCCCAGCCTGCCATCGGGGAGGCCTTCTGCCCAAGGTCAGGCTGCAAGTTCAGACTGACCCAAGCTGCTGCCCTGCTTCCTCCTGCCACACCTGCGACCTGCCCAGAGAAGTCACCTAGTGCATGGTGACAAAGGCCCCCAAAGAGAGGCAGGGCTCAGAGCCAGTGCTCTGAGGGGCAGTGAGATTCCCCTCGTAGAGGGGAAGGGGCCACTCGGCCCCCAGCACAGTGACACCCCCTTCTCAGGGCCGGATGCCACCTCGGCCCTCTGCCCCCGGGTGCATCTGAGCGTAAATAATCCCCACCTCCGCCTGGGCTCCCGCCCCATCACCCGCCCTTCCCTGGACTGTACGAACTCCCTGGAGGTTAGGGGACAGTGGCTGTTTTCCTTTTGTTCCTCCTTAGATGTTCTGTTTGTTGAGCGAATTGTTTTCTTCCAGGCTCCGAGCTGGCGGCTGACACGGGCTCACCCGCGCTAATTAGCTAGGCCAGCTGGTGCGTTGGGAAGGTTTTTCTGTGCTCCTCGGTATGCGTTTCCTTTTTTAAACATGATCAATACCCTCTCCGGCTGGGCTCCCTCACACATTCCCCATTGTTCTCCCGTTTGCATTGTGCCCTGGTCCTGGTCAAGGACTCAGGGAGCCTCAGAAGACACGCTTTTCCCCGAGGCTGGCGCACAGCCTGCAGCCGGGGAGAGACCGCACAGCAGATGTGGCTCGACCTTCCCCTGCTCCCGTGCCCGCAGCTTGGAGCAACTTTCAGTAGCTCTGGACGACGGCCCGGGGATGCCCAGGTGGATGCCGAACGGTTGGGTAAAGAGGAGAGATTGCTGTGTGGCTCCAAGCAGATCCCTTGCCCTCTCTGGGCCTCTCCTTCCTTGTTTGTGAAGGGAGGAGTCAGTTTCTAGTTCTCGTGTGAGCAGCCTAGGCCTGTAATTCTCAGACGTCTAAAAGGGGCATCCTGAGATGCGGACCCTTCTAGAGGGAGAGACATGAGGACAACATGCTCACCACAGGACCTCAGCTTGCTCCCCACCTCGGTCCTGAAGGAGGACAATGCAACCTTTTCTAGGTGGACACTCAGAGAGGCCTCAGCCCGACAGGGGCAGCCTGAGGCCTGACCCTCCCCTATGGCTGGTCCTGCCGTCCTCACAGCCCACTGGGGTCCACTTGCTTATTTCACACAAGAGACTCTGAGAAGATTCTCTGACGTCCCCCCTTCTTCTAGTCATCCAGCTGTGGTGACTGGGTATGCCCTGGGTGCAGAAGCTGAAAAATGTCTTCAACATGTTTTTGTTTTACACGTATTTTTTTTTTTTTTTAATTTTTTTTTAACGTTTATTTATTTTTGGGACAGAGAGAGACAGAGCATGAATGGGCGAGGGGCAGAGAGAGAGGGAGACACAGAATCTGAAGAGGCTCCAGGCTCTGAGCCATCAGCCCAGAGCCCGATGCGGGGCTCGAACTCACGGACTGCGAGATCGTGACCTGGCTGAAGTCGGACGCTTAACTGACTGCGCCACCCAGGCGCCCCTTACACGTATTTTTTAATAAACAGATGCTAGTTCAAATACAGTTTTACTGACAACTCATTCTGGGGCTTAGCTTTTTTCTCCCGCCTCCTTCAGATTAATAGTGTCTTCTGAAAATCACTGACAGACCAAGTGCTGGAGAGATTTTTCCCCTTTCTACCCAAGGTCATAATTTTTTCCCGTTTTCAGAAAGCAATAGTAATGATTTCTCATTGTTATGGAGAACTTAGTATGTGTCAGGTATTGGCACAAGGCATGAACTATTTTGTTAATCGATACGATGCACTTATGACATCCTCATTTTCTAAGACTCAGAGAGGTGAAGGAATTTGCCCAAGGTCACACAGGAAGTAAGCTGGAGAACCCAGAAGCAAGCCCTGGCCTTTCTGACCTCGAAGCCCCTTCTCTCTTGGATCTTCTCCTGGATGTCCTGTTTCAATGTCCCATCCCTGACTGCTAAGACGTTCATCACATCTGATGACAACATCAAAGAGGAGGGAAGACACTGGCCTCAATGTCAAGTCTAGGTTTCCAGCCCTGACTCTATGGTCTTGTACCAATTAAAAAACAAAACAAAACAAAACAAACAAAACAAAACAAAAAAAAACCCAAACACTCTCAAAACCCCAGTAAGCTCTCCAAGCTTCTGTTCCCTACTTCACAAAGATACCATGAAAACGAAATAAGATAATAATCATGAAAATGCTTTGGAAATTGGGGCGCCTGGGTGGCGCAGTCGATTAAGCGTCCGACTTCAGCCAGGTCACAATCTCACCGTCTGTGAGTTCGAGCCCCGCGTCAGGCTCTGGGCTGATGGCTCAGGGCCTGGAGCCTGTTTCTGATTCTGTGTCTCCCTCTCTCTCTGCCCCTCCCCCGTTCATGCTCTGTCTCTCTCTGTCCCAAAAATAAAAAAAAAAATAAAAAAAAAAAAAGAAAATGCTTTGAAAACTATAAAGCTCTCTCGGAATATCCAGTAAGGTATTTTGTTCTGACACCCGCCAAGACGGAGAACCACATTAATTCTCCAGGCATGGAAAAAGTCCTCCCCCGTCCCTTAGTAACGCCCGCCTCCAGGTCCCTGCCGTCAGCCCCGCTGCTCGTCCCACCCCCCACCCGAGGAAGTGTGAGAGGGAAGCCCCCCCACACCCCCCACTCGCCCCCGGCACTGGGCTCTGCAGCAATCTGCAGCTCCTTGACTCCCAAGACTCCCTCTGGACTTACAGGAGCCTAGAGTGGCTGAGTCAGCTGCATTTTCTCCCGTCTCAGGGCTCCCTTAAACCTGTTACTGAAATTGGCTCCCTGGTACCCGCAGGTCCGCTTGCCATCCAGCAAGTCCCCCGGGGTGGCCCCATTAATCACATTTGCTCTCTCTCTCTCTCTCCTCTGGCTAGCTGGGAGGACAGCAGGTAGGTGAGCCGAGCGTCCGCAGGTGTGGGTTGCGTGAGCCTGTGTCTGTCCCCCGGGAGCGCGGGGACTAAGTTCTCCCGCAATAAAAGTGAGTTAGTTGCTGCCTTCCTGATAACCAGAATCCGTCCCACTTGTCCCAAGGAAGTGACAGGCCCCCCGGGTGATGCATCTCCAAGACTGGGAGAAATCAGCTATTTCAGTCCCTTTTCTTGCAGAGGCAGGCTCCCAGCGCTATCTCGCGGCGGCCTGCCGGGCCCCTCTCCCATGCCGTTCGCTAGTTCCCGGGCTCCCCAAGACCATCCACGTGAGCTTAGGAGCTGGAGAGACACCCTGTGCGGCTCTGCCGGGAAGCTGGCCCTCTCAGGG